TAGAAATTTGCGACATTGTGTAACGCTATGGAAAGAAAAGAACTTGATTTCGTTACGCATACGCAATATTTGCCAGGGGGATGTGAGGTGCACTGTTGCGACTGTCTCCTGGCGTTTCCGGTCGTGATTCGTTGGAGAAGATTAATTCCCGCAGAATTTAGTAAGCTCTCGCGAAGTAGCATGTTGAACACCTCTGTGAGAGAATGCTTATCTTTTCAAGGACATGGAATACTACACGTGTTTGAGGTTGGAGCTCACGTACAATTGTCACAACACCGGAAGAAACGTATCCCTGATTGCAACATCAACAGTCATCCCAAGCTGTTTGCTGGGGTCTCTAAAGTCTTTCATATATCACCTATAAGTTGAAAAATTTTTATCGTACATAGGACCTCAGAATAAAGCATGAAATATTTCTTACGCAGACAGACGGGTGAATTGGCCCTTGCCCAAAATCTGAATTGATTAAGTGATGATTAGGAGAGGCAAACAGAACCAGTAGAGCTCACGGAAACCTTCTTAAGTGAACGGATTTGGGGAAAATCCAGATGCAAGTAGTACGCATGTCCAGTAACAGTTCAACATGTACCGGGAATAAAACAAAGGGTACGTAACCGACTCTATCAGAAAATTGAAGGAACTGCACATGTGGTCTTCATTGTGTGTTAATTCAATTGCTGTTTCCGAATTCTCATTCAAGATCGCATTTTGCTATGTTGTTTTAGTGACCCGAAAGATCGCGTGGGATGAACGTAACCATTGACAAACCATAAGTATAGTTCACAACTGACTTTGAACGACAAGACACGTTACATGTGCTTTTCTCAGCTGCGATCCTAATGAGGGAGACAGTCGAGTGTCGTCAGTGTATACATGTAATCCACCAACGAACTCCAAACTCGTGTAAAATGTGTTTTGATCCTCAATGGTCTCTACAGCTCTGTGGATCTGATTTCGATCGTTTATCGATCAACGAAACTTGAACAATTTTGTGGCAAGCTATTCGAATACACTCGCTTCAGGCTGAAATTAAAATAACACGGGGAAAGCAAAACCGGATCAGGAGAAATAGTATTTTGTATTTCCACTGTTGCGTGATCACCTTTGCACCGCCAGGAAGCGCCCAAGTGAGCAGGAGTTTCACTTTAAGTTCTCATGTATTGTACACAATTACTTTTAGTAATTAAACAGCTATTTCCTTTCTCAAATCTTCTTGGTTCTCCTTTTTCTTATTTCTCATCGAGTTTTTCTTATTCCGCATTGAAACAATAAAGCGGCCTGGCAGTACTGTGTGTGTGTGTGTGTGTGTGTGCAATAAATCATTTTTGTTCCCGAACCAGTTTTATGCCCTGGAAGCGCGTTTCTCACGTGCGAAGCAGGGAAAATTACATGACTGATGGGGACACATGGAAATGTAAGGCCTTTTGTTTTCATAATGTGCGGAGTTAGATGATATGTTCAGTTACGATTTGTTGAACAAACATTTCCTATCAGCATTGATTTCATATCAAATCAGATATTATATGAAATATGCTTTGAAATAATGGATGGAAATACGCAAAGACAATAGATCAAACAAGGGCTTCCCTTAGCTTTCCACAGAACACTTTGGTTCAATCCAGCAGCTTGTGCACGTTCCATTGCGTTGAGCACACTCTGCAGACCAAGGATATAAAAAGATGATTCTAAAATCCAATCCAAACATATTGAAAATCGGTTCTCGTAGCTCTCGGGTAAATTGAATTCAGTTTTGCCTGTTCACCTGCTGAGGTAACATCTTCAGGGCTTGTGATGTGGCAGTGTTCATTTTTGTTCCCATTCACTTCTTCAGCAGATAATTAACCTCTTATCTCCGTTTATTTCAAATTATAATTCGCCGTTGAAGTACCGCAAAGGAAGAGCGGGAGAATGGGTTTAACGTGTGAATTGCGGGTTTTAGTCAATTCTCGGGTCAAAACCTGACCTTTCATTGGGTAATTTGATCTTATGGCATGTACACGAGAGTCAACTTAAAGTGTCTATTGATTGCGCTGATTGAAGATTACCAAACCCGAAAAAATTCCCCGGGCTTGGTCCATAATTTTCATTGATTCCGAGACAAATTGATTTCCATCTTGCTCTCTCTCTCTCTCTGTATGTGGATTGAGAGCGCGGAAAGTGCACCCGCCAACCATACCAATCAAGGATAAAAGTGACACAACACAAGGTGAAGAGGTCATGACTAGAATAACAGCACAAAGCCGCAATCCGCAAGTAACATCAATTGATTACAATTGTTTCACACTTGATCAATGGGGAATCCAGTCGAATGCAACACAAACAATGGACGAATGTGAGTAGCCGCAACAAACATATTGCATCCGCCACCCGTGGAACAGATATTTCGATTATCTCTCTTTCGAAATGTATGATCACTGTCATTTTTGAGAATCTAGTCCCGAATAAAACCAAAAACCTGACATGCTACATTTCATCCGAAGATTTTTGACTTGAACAAAAGTAACCGAAATTTACCGCTACAAACGTATTGCACTCCTCATGCAATTTGGGATACTTTGTCACTTTCAAAGAAGATTTCAATTCAGTTCCTTGTCGATATTTTTCCACTCCCTTTCTAACCGCGCTTCCCATTCATGTGTTGTGGTGTTCACTTTGGAAAGGTTGGTGCACCTTCCGAGCAAGTCCGACCGAAATGTTTTCACAGAGGTCTCCAATATGAACTGCACGCAGTTCACATCGTTGTTCTGATGCCAGGAAATAATATACGGCATTTTGTTTGATACGAGCAGTAAACTCTGCTGCTACTATGCTGGCATGTGAGTATTCGATGCCACTGGTACCATGAGGAGCCACAGGAATGAACGAATGTAGGCATGAGAATCTTGCAACACGACGTGTTCGATTGGACCGTGGCGTAACAGAGCATCCCTCACCAACACAGAGTTCGCCCNCCCCGCCAGTCCTCTTCCGGAAGTATCGCTCGGCTTTCCACGAATCATATCACTGTTAGAATTCCACGGGGCGACGTCTAGACGATGATATTTATTTAGTATGAACTGCAATTGAAGTATCAGTAAAATAGTATACATGGCAAAAAATATATCAATTCGAAGTCCACGGTAAAAAGTGCATCAGAATATTGCACCCTATGCATTGAGCTCGGTTATACCGTCACCTGATAAGGCACATAGGAAAATCACGGAGTTTCAACTACGAATCTACCTACTGAAGTAGTGCTTTTTTCACTGATCATATCGTTTGTAGTTCCACGCGTTGAGTCCAACGAAATGAAATTTCCGTTCGTTGCTGAAATAGACGGAATTCCATTCATTTTTTCAAACAACACGAGTTTCAGTTCGTATTAAAAGTATTTCTATTGGTAACGTTTCTGTCACTGCGAGTCTACTCATTGTCTCGCATTTCAGTTTGGGGGACCGACTGTTCGTTGCATTCTTCGCACTCTAACTATCAACTGGAGAACCGCTTTCATTTCCGACTCATGGCTCGTGGATTTTGGGACCACACGAAGCAATCTGCCGAAGCGTTCCTAGTGAGTTTCTTCTGGATTGCCATCCAGTCACGATTGGTTTTAGCTGTTTCCGTTTGCCACAGTGTGACTGAGACCCATTGCATGATCTGCTTATATTGTGTGTTAACTTTGTTCCTTCGAAAACCTCCTTCCAAATGTTTCGTTATTAGTAGGCCTCCTTCATCACAGCATTGCTAGTAATGTCTTTGGTAGATATGTTTCTTCTTTATAGGTCATTCGAAGTAACGTTAGCATTGTCACAGCTTACACAAATCGGCGATCCAATGACAAACATTTGATCGGTAGCCATGCCGAAATACAAACTCGGGATAGCTCTCTATCGTATCTATTGTAAAACCGATTTGGCGGTTGTGTAGCCCACGGTAATGCAACATTGTTCTCGCAATAAAAAATCCGTTTTTATTGACATATTTTCGACACTCTTTACTGAATTGACTTGACTTGTTTTCAGAGTTATGCGTTCAATGATCATTTAGTTACGTTGGCATTTAACAGTGAGCAGATTTGATTAGTCCGTTTATTGAGTTAGTTACGTGTTTTGACTGGGATTAGTCGATGGTTTTCACTATTTCCAAGTCTGAATGATGTCCTTCTTGATCTTTGTGTGGGACATCGACCATAGTTGTTCTTGCCTTATGACTGCCGATTGATTTTCACGGATAATCGTTGATAGATTTCCTCCAGTTTGCCCGATTTAGTATATCGAGCATTTCTCACAATTTTTTATGGATAATATTGTTCTTGTCCTTGCGCGTAACTACTCTCAGGAGTTGTCTTTCTTCTTTGGTATGTCGCTGCTGCAGTATGTTGGAATTGTTCCAAACAGGTTCTTAACACAATATCTTTTGTGGCTGTGTGAAGGATTAAATTCGAAGTTCAGGGTTTGATCCGTATGCGTTACTTTGCGGTTGATCACTGTCTCCATGTTCCCTGATAGCGTTGTGATGATCAAGATGTCCAGTTGGTTATCCGTCTTCGTCTCCATTGCGAATTTGTTGTCACTGAATGCGTTATGCATTATAGGAAGATAACCTCGGAATGGACTATGTAACATGTGTATCATAACTTTAAGGATGCCAACTTGGTAGAGTGATATGGCGGTCTCAGAAATTGGCGCTTGTGCGTGGTTATGTAAATTTAAAAACTGGGACCGTCGTCACCGTTGTCTAAATTATCCACTCCATTGTGTTCGTTGACAGTCCTTTGATTGTTCGTTGAACGTCCATCGTGCACTTGTCTCCTCAACCATATAAAAAAGAACGTTTGTTCTCACTGTTGCCAATGTTAGTTGTTATTATTCTTGCAATTATTGATATGGTATACGAACTACTTGACTGGTTCAACACAACATGTGTAAATCGATAAATTCAAATATTTGTGATGAATATTTTCCCAAATCCATGGATGTAGTATTAGAAACGCGTTTATGTTGACCTACCAAATTTGATAACTAGTGTCCGGTGCTTATCTTCACACAGATTGCCAATGAGAACATGTGCTTCACGTGTCTGCCATTTCCCCCGTCCAATTCTTTCCAGTTGTCCGACCAACGAGTGGATCCAGCACCAGAAACCATATCTACGGATCCTACCCAAACAACAACGGCACAAGATACTCATCCATACATTTCTCCCACTCTGACCAATAGAAAATCACTTTTCGAATCTTTATGGATACGTACCCTGCCGTTGCCCACCTCCCTAACCAGTGAATCGTCCAAATCAACACCCACAGACACGCCAAAGACAAATCAATGACTTGTACGAAGGTCGGATCGTCCGACTGATTCAATCTTGCTGAAAATTGGTCCAGTCCCTGTGAAAAAAGGAATATCTGTGTACATGAAGCTGCATTTTTTTCAAAACAACATCACTTTTCTTCTCTTTTTGTTGTGTTCTCTTTTGATTTCATGTAACGTAACAGAATTATTGTGCATACGCAGTGATCCAATGATCCGGGATGCACAGTGAACATAGTGAATCAAACATTGACCTTGAGTAGCAGCCATTTCTCAACTTTGTCCATCATGAAGATCGAATTTATCCCACAGTTGTGTGACAACAGATAAAGTGATAGTTATACACAAACGCGAATTTTCATAAATTATTTATGCTTCGGGACTGTTAGTAGACGCCCTTTGAGTAGGAGATCTGGATGCCATTATCAGGCGGGTTGGGGTGGGAGTCATGCATGGTTCTCGATTTGTGGTGATACTGGGTCGTTTATTTGACTCTTCTCAACCGGCAATCAAATGCAAATAAGGGTTCGAAAACTGAAGTTTTTCGGGATCATTTTGGGTCCTATAAATTTACAGGCCTCAATTTAGCCAGTTTTTGTGTAAAAACCATTTTTGGCCCTCATCGATTTGTATATTCCTCTTTCGTTGTACAACCTTTGGTTGAGAATGACCTAAACGTTTTTATCGCACTGTCTTCTTGGTCCAGGTTCTTAACACACTCAACGTGTTGCGCTCAGATCCAACGTGCGTGATTGGCTCACGAATTTTCGTAAACCACTGGGGAGTCATCGTGGATGGTGAACTGGATCTTACTCCTCTGATTTCTTAGCTCTTCAAAGGAACAAAACTTCTGCCACTGAAGTCATTTGCTACCGGAATTTCTTGTCCACTTTTAATTTCGTTTGCCACGGTCAAAGTCAGAGCTCTTTCGCTACGACCGTCATTGTTGTTGCGTTGGCACCATGCTTGTTTTCAAGCCGGTGGTAAATATATATATATATATACCGCAACGTGCAGAAATGATTCGCCATGGGGATTGGTTTAATTGCATTCTAGATCACGCACATCTGTTTGTGTAACATATTGTAATGTGAATACGAGTTGCTCCACAATGGCACTCAGAATACCTACGACGGATTGTGTGCATATCGGTCGGTGAATGTGAAGTTCGAGGAACGTCGACTACGGCCGACTGAACGACTCAATGGATCTTATAGCTCGTGGATAATCGACTAGCAACCGGTATAAACTACAAGAATTCTCGATCCGGTATGTGTGCATTGATGTGATGGGGTATAGAGGCTGTACCCGTACAAGCTAACATTCACCTACTTTGCCCTTGGCAACCTAGACGTATCGTGCGCCGGATCAAATCATATCACTGTTTCTTTGGTACAATGATTAATGTATCCTGATTTGTTTGCCACACACACACACACACGTGCGAAAGAAGTGCAAATGTCATTGCTTTAAAGTACCCAATTTGTGTAACCATTATACGGTTTGCGTAGAGTTTGATTTGGTAAGCTCAGTGAGTCTCGTTCAGGCCTGATCATCAGCTATGATCGGATCACAAACGCCGGAGTTCGAACCTCGGATAATAATACTACGGGATCGAAATTCAACTCTACAGCTTCTCTAACACATGGCTGATTAGACGAAGTGGATGGTCAGTAAAAATCTGACGTTGACTGTGAATTAACGGTACAGCAGGGTTCCCACATTGCAGTTTCGACTTTTCGTGTCTATTTCACAAGGATTTTGTGATTTGTGTTCGTACAAACAAGGGTATGTTGGTTAACATTATAGGACCTTAGGATTTGCGTGGTTTTTGACAATGTGGACAGAAAATCGTGAATAAAAACGAAAGTAGTTGGGAATGGTTCATATCTGTATGACGCACCGACAAGTGTTGTGTTTGTGGATGGAAGAGATTTGTCGCTTCCGAAGTCGATGGTGCGGGGTCACAGAGTAAACTGGAAGTTGATGAGACAAGCGCAGACCGGGAACCGGGAGCACTGTGCACCATATCGTACGAATTGCACTTTTCATTTGATTGAGAGCTGTCTTAGATTTCTTTTTGTTAATTCTACTTTGTGTTCAAGCATTTGTAACAATAATTGGGTTGTCTCCTGTTTGACAAATACTGTACTTGTGGAGATCCGTATCCGTGTCAGTGGTCTGTATCCAGTGCATCTGCTAGGTTTATAACCCGGTCCCGAACCAGAGACCTGACGGCTAGACAGGACGCCTATTACGCAGTGCTCGTTAGGTTGCATAGCACCTACGTCGGACCGGGTCCTGATCGGGCATGTCGTTGATGACGCGCAGTACCAACTGAGCACATTCACCTGACAGTGGGGGAGATAGCTAGCATTGATTTCCGTTTGAATCAGTAAGTTCGCTCAGCTCCATGGGCAGTTGATTGTCAATTATAGTGGGTCCAAAAACGCTGTCCGGAATTTGTACCTGGAATACTAATACCCAGTTATGGGATCGAAACTCGAGTCTACTACATACTTCCCTAGTGCGCGGTTGATTAGACGAAGCGGATGATCAGTCAAAATCTGTCCGTCAGTGTGAAATCCCGCACTGCAGTCTCGCTTTTTTGTGTCTAGTTCTCGAGAATTTTGTGTTCACTTCCAATCATTACCGGCGCATAAGAGAAGATATGATTATGGTATACCAAATAATGCAAATCCCAAGCCATCCGTATCGCCCGCTTCTGAAAATATCACCCAACGTTCATCTTAGAGGACACCCATTTAAACAAGTGGTCTCAAAATGCCGCTTGGAAGGCCGGCGTCAGTCATTCGCAGTCAGTGTGTTCGATCTGGAACTCTCTACCATCCTACGTCGTCTGTGCTCCAAGCGTTGAGTCTTTCAAACTGAGGCTCGATGAAACACTAGCATATCTTGCGTTCCAACATAAGTGAAGCTGCGTGAAGCAGTGGAAAATGCACGTATCACGTGACATTTTACACAAAGAATTGTATGTATCACTGTTTCTTACTCCACCGCACGAACCTTTGGGACCAGAAAAGCATGAGCTTGTAAGTTATTCCCATAATAAATTTTTAAATCTTTCAGTTGGCTATCATCAGCTCGGATTGCAACCTGTTCCCCGAGTGATCACATTTTTAATTGGCGAGTATGAGAAAAATCAAACGAACTGGCAAATTATTGTTGACATATATATTTATAGACCGAGGGGCAAAAGTGCATTTATGTTTGTCCGTACACATGTAGGTGGATAGAATAGTTTCATAGTTCGTTTGTCAAATCATGCATTGTGTCAAGGAACAAGTAAGCGTTAAGTAGATTAGTCCAAGTTGCCGGATCTGCTTATAAGTCGCTCACGCTGGTATCTTGACCGTCGCACACAACAAAAATGTTGCATCATACAATTGTTATTTTGGTGTGAAATCACCGACCGTGTATATGATTCGACAGTCCGGGCGACGAGCAGCACACTGTGACCACCTGAACAAGTTGGCTATTGTGGTGATAAGGTAGGGGCTGATTGTGGAACGTTTAAATAGATAGTCATCAATGAGTGTGCTTCGCTGTGTGGATGGTGTGAATTCCGAGCGAGGCAAAATACAACACATACGTCTTCCCAGTGAGTAGACCTATGATGAGAGTGATCGTGGGGTATGTGGATACAGGAGTATAATGCGGCATTGAAACATGTTGAACAGCAGTACTTCTCTAAAATGCTAAAATCACAGTCGATTGCGCGACTGGTATGCTCCATTGCACATTTTTCAAATCGTCTATTCAATGGGAGAATAATCGTGGTGTTTCGTTCGATCAGTCTACGGTTGAAAGTTCTCGGAATAAAGTTGGTTTTACCATCCGGCGACTAGGACGTTGCGGTAGTAAATGCCGTCAAAACAAACTGTGATGCGGGAAGAGCACAAATTGGAGGTTCAAGAACGGGCACGTGAATGGAATTGCGTGTGATAGGCTTCAATCAGCCAATTTCATAAGAACACTTTTGTCAAACGAGCAAGGGAAAGCACCAGCACATGCAGCATTTCAAAAAGACTAAAATAAGTGAAACAAGTCGGCTCACAAGTGTGCTCACGATTGTTTTATTGTGTTAATTAAATGGTTGTGAATCCGATCCTTCTCAAGTGCGGGTAGAGAATCGCCACGGTAGAGTTAGTTTTCGAGCGATGCGCCATGTGGGGAACTCGGAATGGAAAACATTCAAGCGAAAAAACACTCGGACAACGCTTGACTCGTCAAAGATACAAGTACTATTCTTCTAAGCGCGTTCGGTAAACAAATAGCCATAATAAAACTTTGAACCTGTCCTAATCACGGACTACAAAAACCACTAATTATGCACAAGCACTCTTCTTGGTATTTTTCAAATTGACTAAAATTCAACATCCTGTTGCTTGAATAGTAGAATTCGGTGAAGATAGTTTTCTTCCATCTTCAGAATAGTAGCAGTTGGAATACTTTCGTACTACGCAACGCTACTCTGTTATAGCTAATCGGCTGTTCTCAGTTTGAGGGAGTCTTCTACACTACTTACTAGTAGTGACGTGGTGCAATTGAAAAACGACATGTCACGAGGTCGACATCGATGGAACAAAGAAACAAACTAGTAAGTAGACCGGTCGAATTGGTGGTATAGCTACAAATACGAATAGCCCAACAGCTCTGAATAAAAGTCCGTCCGCAATAATCTTAATGTAACCACTACAACCGCTTTTGAAGAAATTTTCATTACCGATGTTCGGGTAAGTACTTTTGTCAAATGGCTGAGAGATAAGTACTAACGAAATCCCGAGATGTCTGTGCGCATTTTCACCCAGGAACTCAAGAAAATCGAGTAAAATCCTAGATCGATCGTCAATCAAATTTCAGCTCTCCTCGGGACTTTCAACGTCAAACCTATTAGGCCAGTTCCACTAAAAGTGGATAAGCTAAATCACGTGGGATTCAATTATCAGTGGCAACAGTTTCCACCTTTAATTCTGCTTTTCAACAGCTGTTGAATCAGCACGCTGGCGCACCAAATCATCATTTGGACCACATAATTTCCAAATATACCTCAAAGTTTTGTTCCAAATTTTACAGCCAACTCACTATTCTTTCAAATATGCGTACGTTACATAAAGCGGATAAAGATAAGATTTTACACAAGTTTCGGGTTTGCTCTGCATTTGTTGAATTAATCTTAATGTATGAAAAACTGTTACCTTCTTGAGCTGTGATTAGTCAATAGAAGATGTCGATAGTTTAATCGTACAGTTCACCAGGTGACAAACCTACCGAACTCACGGTCCGTATCATTTGATGAATCATTATATGCGTAGCTTCATGCCGATTTTTCTATCAATACCCGACATTCCGAAGAGATATATGTATAAATACATGTACGGGACTGAAAACGCGTAAATAACAAGTTACAATAACGAGCTTTTTCAAACGACAATACTTTCGATGAGCCCCTCGAATTGTGCGCTCTCAGTTTAATTGGAATTCGTCTGTCACAGTTCGTTCCACATCGTCTAGTCTACCTTCATTTCGACCACACTGCGTACTCTCTCTCTCTCTCGCTGCGACCATTGGAAGAAGAAGACTTAAACATGTGTTTAGGCCGAGTCGTCACAAATACTGAGGCGAAAATGAAAGAGAAACGACTAAATATTTGTGTATTCCATAATATTCTATTCATGTAACTCATAGGGACGTTATTATGTCATTTACGCATATTTTTAGTAAGGTACCACAGACTCGCATGCACTGACACGTCCATAAGTTGAGATCAGAAACCCTCCGTTGAACGAGCATCTTCTGGACGGGATCATTCACTGTCAACTAGACCTGCGTTGATTTTCGTAAACAACACCTTTCATAACCGAGGCAACCGCGGTTCTTTTATTCGATGTTTCTCTTTTCTTTCAAATTGGTTCGTTCCAGTAGATTGTATACCCTGACGGCAACCTGACATGACCACCCGAAACGATTGTGATCCAGTGACACCGACCCCAGTCACCTTCTTCACACAAAAACGATAACAAGGCAGAAATTCAACCTTCGACTTTCTAAACCGCACACTGCATCGCTTAACAACACGCAAGCTATAAGACAGCAGTCTGGTGAACGTAAAGGAATTCCTGAGCTTTGGTTTCCGAGTCTCGTTCAGTTTGGCGATAAACACGTGAACATTTAGATTATTGACACATATCATTCCATTATATCATTATACCATTCAATTAAAGAAAAACCCACACCACCAAGAACAATCACGGTCAAAACGAAAGAACTAATTTTGCATCGCCCGTTCAAAGGCGATCTACCCAGAAGACGTTTGGAAAGAGCAATCACAGGAATATATCCAGCCACCACTCTACGTGCGACGTTTTGCAAACCGGACACAGCTCTGCACGAACCGCAAAAATAAGCTATCCATTCGCTCCTCATTCACGATTACACATTCCTTTATTGCACATTTTCGGCAAGTTATTTTGAACAACCGAAGAGACAGTTTTCACAAAGAATCAGAGAAGGTGAACCGGCTTGGCTTAGCAAGGGTTGCAAGAAAACCAGTGCGATTGTGGCCCACGTAGCGAATACCAGATAAACAAGACAAACAATGAAGCATTTAAGTTATCTATAACGCGCCCCAAAACAGATCGGAGTACGTTTGGCAGCATCACATGGCAACGACACAAGTGATAGCAATTCAAATTCAAAACCCATCACGATGCAAACGGAAAAACATGGTTGCCACATTCCTGTTGCTTTGGCTCTCGCCTCAACCTACATGACGAACCGAACCATGACTTCAATCATGTCGTGATTATGCAACATGACAGGATAACTAACACGTGAAACAGGTTATCGGATATGGCTCGAATTCACCTTGGTCTCTTTTCTCCCGATCTCCATTTGCCCTCAGTGAACTTGACAGACATTGCTATTCTTTCCGCTTAAGCCTCAATAAACCAATCACATTTCTTTCCAGGTTATATAAACGCACAGCTGTGAATGCATGAAGACGAGGTTACGAAAATATGCTTGTTGGTCAAATTGTTTATCGTTTAACATACCATTCCAATAACCTCGAGTGTAGAGTATACACTGCATTCCGGTAAGCGTCTCGTTGAATGTCGTGGTTCGATCCCATGGCACATATGTGGTATTCACATGAATGCTCTCATTGATGATCCGGCTATATCTGGATAGGTTTATTCCAATCCACTGAGTGCGAATATCGGTGGCCATCACAATACTCTCTCCTTCAGGTCCAAGACCCACGTATATCCTCTCCTTCTGTTGATAAGTAAGAATCTGAGAAACCATCGGACCTAATGCTGACAGGGGATGAAATAAAATGGGATTAAGTGTGCTAAGCGAGAATTCCGTATGTTGACATGTCGCCACTGTCAGAACGGGATGTCTACAGTTCATTCAAATAATACTGGTACATTCAGAAAAAATCATATTTCTCGCGAACTGATAATAAACATTCTGTTATGAGCTACCCGAGGAAATCACAGCAAAAGGAAATAGTCTGCTGAGCACGTGGACATATTTGTTGCACATGAGGAACGCATAACGCAATCGATAAAGCAGGTATTTCAAACTGATTCACTGAAACCGTTCTGTGCGCTCAGCAAGTTCACATGTTCCCACTTGTGTGTCTGACCTCTGTCAGCGGTCAATCGACATTCGACAACAGCCGTAGATGGTCACGGTGGCGCGTGAGAGGTTATACAAAAGAATCTTGGGAGTACCATTCCGGATAGAGTCTGTGTTATCATGTCGGATAATGAACAGAACAAGCCCGGGGTTGGAATCGCCGCGGAAGTCCACTGCATGTACATTTGTATGTGAGAGTGACATCAATAACTTCTCCAAAACGAAGCGTATCGATCGCAGTTAACTTATCCATGACTAACTTTTCGTTGCTCTACATGTCCAGTTTAACAGCTCTGACACTCTTCAGGACTAAACTTGAGGCAAATTATCAATCGATCTGTGAAGGCAGCTCAAAAGTCTGAAGTTGAGGCTTCGATAGCTGTGGACAGCTGTGTATGACACTCATCACATACAGCGAGAATCAATAGTGACAATGTACGGGTCCTGTGATTATGTGTGCAGCATGTCCAAACGTAGGACACTGTAAAATACCACGAGACAGGTGGAGGTAAATCAGCAATATTTGTCGTGCTTGCAAAATAGACAACAGAAGTTCAATATGTGTGCATGCAGACGTGCAAGATGAAATATATGTCACTTGCTTGACAACGGGCTATCAGTTAATGCCCGACTCTACTGTCAGCGTTCGAGAATCGCTGTCTACGCGGACTGGCACGAATCTAGTGGGAGCAACTGGATAAGGAATACTGAGATTAGTCGCAGACTTTTAGGTGATCAGGGTTACTTAATGGAGCATGTGGTCGACCTCCACAGATTACGCTGGCTTGGGCATGTGTTACGCATGTCACCAAATAGGTTGCCACTGCATGCGGTGTTCACCGATGTAAGTAGTAGGTGGTAAACAGTCAAGGGTGGTTAACTGAAGACCTTTCACGAGTGTATGCAAATCATAACCAGGAGATTTCATCATTTAGGTCGCGTCAAGCTGCCTGGATGGGGACATCGGGATCATTGTCCTCAGTCCTGAGGGGTAATCAGAGATTGGTGGTCAGGTTCGAACCCGCGTCCTTCGCGGGGGATAATTTTGGCGCCTCTGGTGTCATTGGTTCTTGTGGACCAGACGTAAAGTATCTTGAATCTTTGATATCTTCCATTGATAGACTAACGGTACTCAGTAGGATTGGTGAATCGGTTCAACATGACGAGAACTGCTGAGCCCCGTCTCACATGAGGCACACTAAATGACCATGATACTCGTTGCTCTTTTCAATTCCATTATTCTCAAGTTTTCTAGTTTTTTTCGTAAATGTAAACCGAGAATTCAATGTTCATAGTCACGTGAGTAACCTAAAACCGTTGAATATGACTCATTTCACTCAAAGACAACACATTAACATGGCATGACAAAATAGCAGACAGGATTACGCACTAAACCACGTCAGGGTTATGTCGTCGTAGGCTGCCGAACACTTCATCGGTGGCCGGACAAGTCCGTCTGATTGCGCAGTCGGTGCACAAAATATGAACACGGTTCCAGTGTAAATAAAACATCGTTTGTACCGCCGCAGTGATTTCGGTATTCGATTTGCCTTCGGAATCAAACTGAACGATTGACAGGGATCTGAAATTCGAAAGTTAAAGAGATATTCATTAGAGCCATATAAGAATACTAAAGACCTTAATCGATCGAGATTTGATATTTGCCAGATTGAAAAGTGATGAAAATCACCTCTCAGTCAGGTAGTAAGTTGAGTGAATAACATGAACTGTAGCAGTCATACATTTTCTAGTCTGGCTTCTCCACTCCACTATTATTATCAATGTTAATACTATTACTGCGTGTGTGCTAACAATCTGACGCTGGTAACTCATTCTGTATCAAGGGAGACCTTGATTGTAACGCAGAGTCAATAGTTGTTCCAATCTGGAATATGAGTCTGCATTCAAAATCTGTCATAGAAAGAACCAAAAGGATAAATACTGACGGTTTGCTACAATAAAACTGAGCACGTAATTCATTAAATATGATACGTGATTATCAAATTCTGAGGCTGGGATCATGATCCTATTCTCCATGATTCGACACAATTTAATGATCCAAATTATCCCAGTCGTTGCATGAACAAACTATTCCGGGCAGACTATCTTGTTCAGAAATTTTGATCGCCAGTGTCGAGTACTAAACGCATCTCAACCATGTCTAAAACATGGAAGAAGTTGAGACAGTCAATTGTCATTCCGACCAAACGCAGTGTTGAAATATTCCTACCCGATTTCTCGATATACATTTTCAGTGCAGCATCCGAACTGAAAATGTTTGAATAGTGGTTCGTCAATAATTGGAGCTACTCACAACCAAGTCGTTTAGTGTGATCGACGTGTAGAGGTGATGAATCGTGATCAGCTAATACAACACGATGCTTTCTCTGTCTACTCGATTGTCAATTGGCACTTGGTTTTATCAACCGGTTTTCTCAGTCATCACCCGTTCCTAAATCATTTTCAATTTCGTATTGAACATTTGGATTTAAAAACAAAGGGTCTACTTTTTTCCAGCACACGGAGACCGAAAGAACGCATCAATGACCATTTACTATTATTTAGTTTATTCACCTCCATGGTTGATGTAAAACAAACACGAACACATACACAGCACATTGGGCAGGGTAATCTTATTGGACTCTCATCACCCTGATTATGTAAGCCCAATGCAAAACTCCCGGTAGTAAGTGAGGCGCTACTGATTAGCTTACATTATCCCGTTTTGTGCACCCAACAGTTATTGCGGCAATCTGTTCATTTACCTTTAAGTCTACCCCTTGTTTTTAATTATAATAGTCCACGTCCGTTTGCAATGGATTCGTCAAACCTACGTGCTTGTTTATTTTACGTCAGTGATTGAAGGAATTGAACGAAACCTTAGCCTCTGGCAACTTGTGCCTTCTTTCGCATTTGACCCGTGACCAACTGTCTACGATCAATAAGTGGTCATTTATTGGGCAGCATACATGAGTGAAGATTATAAACAAGGCTTCAAAGTTCATCTTGTATCCTGCCCTGCTCAGTTGAGGCATAGATTATCGGGATGAAACGTCTGCACATACCGAATTTGTAGTGATCAATTTCCTCTGAAATGCCATAGATCGATACGTACGGTATATCTTCCAATAATTCACCGTCTATCGGCACAATCCGGAGACCGCGGGTAAGAATAGGTATATGTAGAACGTGGATGGAAGAAGTGTTATCGAGTTTGACAAATAGGGCCTGAAATAAAATCATCGGGAATAAAACTTATTTTAATTGACTTCTGCAGATAAAACAGTTGATTGCTATTCTAAACGGTGTGAATATGATGCAACACGTGGTGGCTAGAGCAATCGGTTCCTTATTCCATTAATCACAACAGAATCACCCGTGCATTCGCGTCCTATTGTATTATATGTCAACAAACTGTGTACCCGTCTCTTCGTTCATTCAGTTGAAATACCTACTATCACAAACAGTTAATAATCCATAGATGTTCCGGATCATTTCGAAAAATTTGGTCGTTGTGCTCATGGTAACAATAGAATAAGGTTTGTTTTAACCACTACGTGAGTACCAAAACATAAAATTTCGGTGACAAGTCAGTTTAATCGGTTTCTCGAAAACACCTTAAAGCTTGTGTTCTCGAGAAACCGATTAAACTGACTTGACACAGGCCTTCCAAGAAGGTCGAAACGTTGTCACCGAAATCTTGTGTTTTGGTACTCACGTTGTAGCTAAAACAAACCTGATTCTATTGTTACCTACTATCACATTTAGGTCAACTACATTGAGATGGACCAGAATGTAACATACATCAAATGTGCCCTGTATATTTCAGTTGACCACCCCGTCGGAAAACTCCGTGAATACTAGTTAGCTCCCTAGTCCGTATTCCCACATGGAATTCTTCACACGTTTTCACAGTGATCAGTTCCCTTGTCGTTCTCAACACGAACGTGACTTAGTCCATTTCGAAAACTTCAAACGCACCACTCTCGTTCAAAACACTGACAAGAACAAAGGGCATGCGCTTAGGAAGGTGGCAGAGCTTAGTAAAATTGACAGAGGGGCCACAGCACATTTCACTAGAGAAGGGCACTGCATGCATTCCAAAGCATTGGATATCTCTTTGCAAGGATTTAATGAAGCCAACTAGTTAGTTCATTGCATAAACATCTTCAACCGATCTACACACACACACAGCCGAGAACAGGAAGAGTGCATATGTACAGTCATCAGTTGTACCTTTCCCGAACAGTAGTCATCTTTTTCAGGCAAACGCCAAATTCTAGTTCCAATCGATTCCATTGTAACCACTGTCCAAAGACGCACTAGTACTTCGAAGAAGCCCATACATCTGGTCGTACACCCAGAAATCGACAGCAAATTAGTTCAATGTGAACGAGGTTATCTACGCAACGTGGTCCTCAGACATCTACAGTTACATGCGTGTTTATGGCCAAATTACATAGGAATATCGGTCGGACGATGGGGCGTTTGTCGCATGGATACAAAGAACAATGGTGATTAGGGAGGAGGCTGCAGAGCTTGGTAAACGTTAGAGGGGATGCATGAAAACAGCTAGAAGTTCAGTCGAAACCCAACTCGCAGGAACAATGCGTCTGTCAGGGAACGCCAAAATCATCTGCGCAATACCACAGATAAGATCAAAACAACGCCAGTTCGCCGTGGCAGAAGCAGTGGCAGTTAGACTTTTAAACCCATCAGACAGTGTGTACAGTAAAACTGATCGAAACTCTTTCGCTGCCACAGCCTCCAGTTAATCCAGGTAACAGATTTGACCGTGAGACGAGGAGAACTTGAAATCGCCGGCCTCCGCACAATGCTACAAAGGTGGCCACAGAAATCAATGAAGCACATTGATTCAAACTCTGCTCCTAACCTCAACATTGCTCATCCGGCTGCCCCACCAGATTTGTTGAACGCTGCGTAGATAGAGGTGTTCGAACACCGACAATCTATGATTATCATGTTTCCTTAATGTTCAAATTTATGCGCCATATATCAGAAGTCTCCGAACTGCTGCGGCATAGACTCGATACTTACAGACAATTGGGTGTCGCGACGGTATCACAGATGTCTCAAGTTGGCAAATGCTAATCGAGCCTTCTGTATGCGAGCTGACACTGCATCTGTGATGCGTCCACCGGGTAAAATGTAGCTGCCCAAATAACAAAACTTATCCACCTGCTCACTTGTTATATTACTTCCCAAATCATTGTGAGTCTGTGTGCTGGACTAACCCAGTCTTGTAGTAGCATTGTACACTTGGAAGGTGCAAAACGCATACCGAACATGGATACACTAACACTCAGACCATCCAGAAAGGCTTGTAACTTATCTGGATGTTCACTTAGCAGCACAATATCGTCTGCATACTCTAGACCAGACGGCCTATCACCTGGGAGTCAATCCATGCCACGATTCTTGCACGAGGATAGGGCTATTTCCACATTCAGATCTTCAACAGAGTTAAATAGGAAAGGAGAGAGAGGGCAACCCTGACGAACACCACTTTCCGTAGTGAACTCGGGCTCGACTTCGGCAAATAGTATAAAGCGATTGTACTATTGAAATTAACTTTTTTGGACACATTGTTCAGAGAGACGCAGCACCAGAGTTTAGAGCGGTCAACTGAGTCGAGAGCCGCGTTCAGATCGAGGAAGATATGGATGGTGGGTCTGCAAACAGATTGTCGGTGCTCCAGATTTTGGCTAGGAGTGAAGATGTGGTCGATACAACCTCGACCTAATCTAAAGTCATCCAGGTTCCTCGCGTGCACCGTTCACGTGCGGCAGATAATCGACGGGGTATAATATCAACGAGAAGTTTAGAGACGATGTTGAATAAACTAATTTCTCTGTGGTTTTCACAAGAGGACCCGTCACCTTGGTAGTAAATCGATATGATCACCGATTCACACCAATCAGTTGGAACCTGTTCTCTCTCCCACACTGAGCCCACGAGCTTTGTCAACTCCGAGACTAAGGCTGAGCCTCCATCCCTAAAAGCCGATGGGGACAGCCCGTCTAGGCCGGAGGCCTTATGCCTTTTAAATAATTTATTTACCAGGAAATCTCAATTACAGATGGAGAGACTGGCATCAACTGGGAGTGTTTGCCCAGTCGAGGTGGAGCGTGACAGTTTAGATGTCGATGGGGGCCAGTTGAACTGAGCCTTGAAATGTTCAGCCCAACGGTCAAGACGGCGTTGCTGATCGTGAATCAGTGTGCCATCGGATTCCTTAATTACCTCACTTACGCCTATTTTCCTAGGGCCCATATTTCTAATTAGACGGAAAAGATTGCGATTATTATCCATAGCCGCAGCTTTCTCTATCTCGTTACACATGTCTACCCACCACTTCTCCCGGTCACCCCTCAGACCCTTGACGATCTGGCGTTTGAGGTATTTGCGCGCTATGTCATATGTGACATCGGGATGGAGGGTTCTGCGAGCATCCAGCAGGGCAGCCCAGGTCAACGACATCCATTGTTTGTGTTTTGAGCTTGCGACAGGGTCCGACGTTGTTTTTATCGATAGTTGCATAGCTTTCTTGATTTGTTTCCAGTTTTCATTGGGTCCTTCGGCTGTGATTGAGCTGATGGGCGATCGGAGGGTTAAGCTTCACAGGCCGATTTTCAGCAATTGCTTATGATGTATCCATTGTCGATGGCTCTTTTGCGGCTGCTTGCCAGGTGTGAGGAGAAGTTGGCTCCTAGCAAAGCGTGATCCAGCGCAGTGAAGAGATTGGAGGTTCCTATGTAAGGCGGTGTCATTTCAAGTCCGAGAAGTTCGTGTTTGACAGGAACAATCCGTGGTCAGTGCAGAGTTGAATCAGGTGATCTCCATTGTCCGTCCGGTTGGGTGAGACTGCATTTGGTTCACCAAGAAGCCCTTCTGATTCGTCCAGGGATTCGACTTGAGCATTGGGGTATCCAGCGATTACCACGATATCCGTTGATCAGACGCTTTGGAGTAATTGAGAAAGGTTCTTGAAGAATTCATCCTTGATTCCCGGTGTATTGTTATTGGTCGGTGCATACACCGACACGACGCTTCGTTCTGTAGCTGTTGACCCATGCTGAGCCAGTGAGACGTACAGCGCACAGTCGGCTACTGACTGGAATCCAGTCAAACGGCGAGCGCTCAGCCTTGGCACTAAGCGCAATCCCGACACCAGCAACACCGTG